AACTTGTAACAACCTTGTTGATATTATCAGACTTGTTGCAAGGCTGTTCCAACAAGTCCGACACAGTCATGATATAACAATATTGTTGTAACAAGGTTGTAACCTTGTGTCATTCTGTATCAAACTTGTCATTCCATATCATGACTGTATCAAACTTGTTAGAACAACTTTGCTACAAGTCTGATAATGCCATCAAGCTTGTTACAAGTTGTTAACAGCTTATTCCAAACTTGTTACAATAACTAGGACCAAGCAAGTCAAGCAGTGCGAACACAACTTGTTGACAACTTGTGAACAGATTTGTAACAACTTGTTTGCAGACATGTAACAACTTGTGCATTTTTACGTACAATCCCGGCCAAAACGTTGTTGACAAGCCACAGACATTGGCCTCGAATGGCGTTTTTTCTAAATAATTATACCCCGCTCCCGCAAGCCAATGTTGAATGGGATTTTTCATCAAATACGAAGTGTGGATAATTCGGATATGCAACATTGAAGATGGGAAGTGAGGGACATGCGAGTAAATTCAACTTTTAGCTGTTTGTTATGATTTTTGCAAACGTGGATTAATTAAATGTCCACATGAGTTTTGGCCGGGATTGTACACACGTAAAACGCACAAGTTGTTACAGGTCTGCAAACAAGTTGTTACAAATCTGTTCACAAGTTGTCAACAAGTTGTGTTCGCACTGCTTGTTCCCAGTTGTTATAGCAAATTTGGAGCAAGCTGTTAACAACTTGGAATAAGCTTGATGACATTATTAGACTTGTTACAAGGTTGTTCTAACAAGTTTGATACAGTCATGATATACAGCGAGAATGTTACAAGGTTGACGACACAAGGTTGAAACAATATTGTTATATCATGACTATATCGAACAACCTTGCAGCAAGTCTGATGATATCAACAAGGTTCTTACAAATTCTTAACAGCTTGTTCCATACTTGTTGACAACTTAGGACAAACAGTGCGAAGACAACTTGTTGACGACTTGTTGGCAGACTTTGTACAGGATGTGAGATTTTTGCGTGTATAGGTCCCCAGTGCGTACGCACGCAATAATCTCACATCTTGTAGCAAGTCTGCCAACAAGTTGTGTTCGCACTGCTTGTCCCAAGTTGTCAACAAGTTTGGAACAACTCGTCAACAAATTGTAAAAACCTTTTTGAAATTATCAGACTTGTTGCAAGGTTATTCCAACAAGTCCGATACAGTCACGATATAACAATAATGTTTCAACCTTGTGTCGTCAACCTTGTAACATTCTTGTTATATCATGACTGTATCAAACTTGTTAGAACAACCTTGTAAGAAGTCTGATAATGCCATCAAGCTTCTTAACAGCTTGTTAATCCAAACTTGTTACAACAACTGGGAACAAGCAGTGCGACTTGTTGACAGCTTGTGAAAAGATTTGTAACAACTTGTTTGCAGACATGTAACAACTTGTGCGTCTTTACGTGTGAAGTCTGTCAACAAGTTGTGCTCACACTGCTTGTTCCAAGTTGTCAAAAAGTTCGAAACGAGCTGTTAACAACTTGTAACAACCTTGTTGATATTATCAGATTTGTTGCAAGGTTGTTCCATCAAGTCCGATACACACGTAAAAACGCACAAGTTGTTGCAGGTCGATCTGCAAACAAGTTGTTACAAATCTGTTCACAAGCTATCGACAAGTTGTATTCACACTGCTTGTTCCCAGTTGTTGTAAAGAAGTTTGGAACAAGCTGTTAACAACTTGTAACAAGTTTGACGACATTATCAGACTTGTAGCAAAATTGTTCTAACAAGTCTGACACAGTCATGCATGATATAACAAGAATGTTACAAGGTTCATGACACAAGGTTGTAACAATATTGTTATATCATTACTGTATCGGACTTGTTCCAAACTTGTTGACAACTTGGGACAAGCAGTGCGAAGACAACTTGTTGGCAGACTTGCTACAAGATGTGAGACTTTTGGGTGTCTACGGTCGTCATATAACAATATTGTCACAACCTTGTGTCGTCAACCTTGTAACAATAGATAGCTTAAGATCTACGACGTCGACGTCAGTTACGACGTCAGGGCTAAGCAGAGTACTGGGACTAGGATGTCGTCCTAAATAAGTAGATAGCTCAATGTCAACGACGTCAAATTTTTAGAGCGGCAAGCGGAAGTAAATTGGCAATAGTTTTTGAAGTGTGCATGGTTTCTCTCAATTTGCTCGTCGTCCAACCAAACGTCGACAACCTCACAACAACAGTTTTACCGTCGTGGATACAAGAGCATGGCAAACGGTTATGAATTCATGTGTCTCTTTAAAATTCATTTTCAAAAGAATATAAGTAAATATTTATAGTTTAAATGTCGACGTCGTGAATCTTAGTGGAAGTTTATTTATTTAGGACGTCCTAGTCCCAGTCCTTCGCTTAGCCCTAACGTCCTAGCTCACTAGCTGACGTCGACGTCGTAGATTTTAAGCTATCTATTCTTGTTATATCATGACTGCATTGGACAGTCTTGTAACAAGCCTGATAATGCCATCAAGGTTGTTACAAATTGTTAACAGCTTGTTTCAAACTTGTTATAACAACCGGGAACAAGCAGTGCGAACACAACTTGGTGACAGCTTGTGAACAGATTTGTAACAACTTGTTTGCAGACTTGTAACAACTTGTGCGTTTTTACGCGTGTACACACATAAAACACACAACTTGTTGACAAACTTGCTACAAGCCTGTTGCGAATACATCTTGTTGACAAGTTGTGAGATTTTTACGTGTATAAGCCATTTTAGCATGCAGTAAAACCCCACATATAAACCAGTGTTGTAAATACTCGTTACTACACACGTATAAATCTCACAACTTGTCAACAAGATGTGTTCGCAACAGACTTGTAGCAAGCTTGTCAACAAGTTGTAATAATGCTGTTATTTTATCAAGTTGCTACAAGATTGTCGCTCACAACTTGTTGACAAATTGATGAATTGCAGGACGATAACAAGTTGTTGGAACAAACTCGTAACAAGTCCGTTGAGCTCAACAATCTTGTAGCAAGTTGTCAACAAGGCGTTGTCAACAAGCTGGGAACAAGCAGTGCGAACACATTCTGTTGACAAGTTGTTGAAATAGCATTGCATGCCAGAAGTCTGCTGCAGGTTTGGTTGGACTTGTGCGTTTTTCGTGTGTAATGTAACGCGTAATGTTACCCGCGTAAAAGCGCACAAGTTGTTACAAGTCTGCAAACAAGACAAGTTGTGTTCGCCTTGCTTGTTCCTAGTTGTTGTAGCAAGTTTGGAACAAGTTGTTAACAACTTGTAACAAGTTTGATAGCATTATCATACTTGTTACAAGGTTGTTCTAACAAATCTGATACAATCACGATATAAGAAGAATGTTGCAAGATTGACGACACAAGATTGTAACAGTATTGTTATTTCATGACTGTATCGGACTTGTTGGAACAATCTTGCAACAACTATGATAATACCAATAAGGTTAATTTAGTTTATTGTACGATCATCCAGATTAAATTAATCCAGATTAAACTGTTTTTTTCCCCAGCTTGTTGACAACATGCTACAAGGTTTTGAGCTGAACATAATTGTTACAAATTGTCCCAACAACTTGTTATCGTCCTGCAATTCATCAATTTGTCAACAAGTTGTTAGTGACAACCTTGTAGCAACTTGATAAAATAACAACATTGTTAAAACTTGTTGACAAGCTTGCTACAAGCCTGTTGCGAACACATCTTGTTGACAAGTTGTGAGATGTTTACGTGTGTAAGCCAATTTAAATTAACATGCAGTAAAAACCCACATAAAAAGCAGTGTTGTAAATACTCGTTACTACACACGTAAAGAAACCCACAACTTGTCAACAAGATGTGTTCGCAACAGGCTTGTAGCGAGCTTGTGAACAAGTTGTAATAATGCTGTTATTTTATCAAGTTGCTACAAGGTTGTCGCTCACAACTTGTTGACAAATTGATGAATTGCAGGACGATAACAAGTTGTAATTGGAATAACTTGTAACAAGTCCGTTGCCGTTGACAACTTATCAACAAGCTGGGGACAAGCAATGCAAACACATCCTGTTGGCAAGTTGTTGGAACAGCTTTGCTACAAGTATGATGCAGATTTGTTTCAATTTGTGCGTTTAGGCCCATACAGACCGGACGCGATTTGGCAACGCGACGCGAATTTTCAATTTTCAATGACATTTAACTTTAATATTTTTCTATGTTTTTCAAATATTCGGAACCACTTAAGCAATTTTGAAAATTCGCGTCGCGTTGTTGAATCGCGTTTGGTCTGTATGGGCTTTTTTTCGTGAGTATGATGTAACGCGTTACACACGTAAAACGCACAAGTTGTTACAAGTCTGCAAAAAAGTTGTTACAAATCTCTGAAATCTGTTCATAAACTGTGGACGTGACATGTTGTGTTCGCCCTGCTTGTTCCCAGTTGTTGGAACAAGTTTGGAACAAGCTGTTAACAACTTGTAAGAAGCTTGATAGCATTATCAGACTTGTTACAGGGTTGTTCTAACAAATCTGATACAATCACTATATAACAAGAATGTGTTACAATGTTGACGACACAAGCTTGTAACAATATTGTTATGCCATGTTTGTATCGGACTTGTTGGAACAACCTTGCAACAAGTTTGATAATATCAACGCTTGTTGTTAACAGCTTGGACAAGTTGTTGGCGCCAAGCTTGGGACAAGCAATGCGAACACAACTTGTTGACAGACTTGCTACAAGATGTGAGCTTTTTGCGTGTGCACATGTGGTAAGCCATTTTGGGACGCAGCAAAAACCGGGGCCTTTTTTTCGTCAGTGGGAGGGTCTCTACAGAAAAGGACCATACTATACTGACCGTAGAGAGATGAAAGATGGTTTTTGGTGACAAAAAGTTTGATGTGGTGTCGTATGCAATATTAAGAAGGAGTGGGGCAATGGCGTAACGCAACCTCAAGTGACCCCCCCCCCCCCCCCCACCCATCAATTGGCCGTCCCTGGTCCCATCTCCCACTAAACAACAGGGTGTATTTCTGGCAACACAATCGCCATGCGAAAGTTATATGTTTTTATTTTAGAAATAAACTATATTACATTACAGTACCTGTTCAACATAGCATTCGCATTTCGCGTAAAGTAGAACTGTACCTGCCTCGAATCAGCTAGCTAGAGGTAGGCCTATTGTGAGAATATTTTGCAATTACATATATTCTAACTGCTAATTCATGTATTTTGATAACTGCTTTTCTGTTTTCATTATTCAATTCCTCGGAAATGTACAAGCAAACATTTTTATGGTCATTCCTGGCGTGCCCCCCCCCCCGTCACCCGCTAGTTACATCACTGGAAATTTTCTTCCACCCCTAGGACTGCATTTCCTACGTTTTCCGAAACAGATTTTTGGATACAGATATCATTTTGGTTTGTCAGGTCAAACTGAATCCAAGTAATTGCAAATATTTGGTTAACTGTAGGCCTCCCACCCTTTGCTTATTTTACTGTAGGTGTTAAAAAAGGTTATCTAATAACCATGGTTAGCAACTAAGGAACAACGCGCGCGGAGCCTGGGGAAAGGCGTGGAGCATAACATGTGGCAGTTCATTGTGTGGAATGCCATGGATTTATGAGATAAGATCTCTGGGACTGCGAAGATAACGCTGTCATAAGCATTGCAGCAAAATCAAGCAACAGCTTTGTGTTAATTTGATAATTTATACAGAATATTACAAATACTATATCATAAAACGAACATTACATTTGACGTTAAAATTCGTATAAAATGTCTCTTTTGTCTTAAATATAATCAAAATAGTGTTGAATTAGTTTAGAAGAGTGTTTCGAAATACTAAGAATGTTTTCTCCGTGTAATTCCATGACTCTCCCTACTAAAACTCAGGGCCGTAGCAACCGGGGGGGGCTGGGGGGGGGGGGACTGCAGCACCCCCCCCCCCAAA